GAGTTAGGGGAAGGAGGAAATGGGAACAGTTGCAGCCCATATCAAGACTTCTATAGCATCAGTGCCAGTGACGGGACTTAAACCAGCTTTGACCCAGCCACTCTGACCTATGGGAGGACTGTAGCTAACAATGACTCATTTTGTTCCTTTGTATATTTTGTTCCTAGGAATAAAGAAATAGCTAGTATGGTCCTCAAATTTTTGTGCTTAAGATGAGTTTTTCTGGAAAAATCCATCCCCAGAATTTCCCTTGGCTTGCTCTAGGCTGAGAAATTGAGAACAGAAGTAGATATTTCGATTTCCTTTTTTCCTGTGTGTTTATTCCTACGGAAAGATTTCCATTTCCTTCACGTCTCCCTGTGTGCTTCCTGTATGTTTTGTCGTGTTGATAGGTAGTGGCCACTAAAGCTAGAAAGCTGCCTTTTCTCTATAGTAGCACTTACCTACCTAGTGATACCTTGGTCCCAATCTGCCATAATATATGAGGAATCCAGCACAGGGCCTGGAATGTGGTGAGAAATACGCATTCTTTAGTGCTGTTCTCATTAGTGATGGAACATGATGGGCCAGTGTACTTCCTCATGCCAGCATGGCTCCTTGCAGGGCGTGTGTGAGGAGATGACCTATGCAGAGATTGAGAAGCAGTACCCAGAGGAGTTTGCACTCCGAGATCAAGAGAAGTATCTGTATCGATATCCAGGTGGAGAGGTGAGACTCCCTTGGAATAATAACTGCCTCGCCCTTTGCCTGGGGACTTTACTTTAGAGGGAGGACTGCAAGTGATCATACTGTGTCTAATTCAGGCTAGACAATGGCATTGTCTCATTCGTTAAGATTTCTAGGGAGTAGGCTGATGAGAGGTCCTCTGTGTACAATCAACATGATTTTTTTTTTTCATTCTCAATCCCACCCTACCCAAGCCAGTAGTCACCAAGTGGAGAACATGGGGTCATAAATTACATCCCCATCATATCCAGAAAGCTGTTTTCTCCTGTAGCTGGCCTTCTACTCTAGGAGTGTGCCAGGGCAAAAGTAAATAAAATGGCAAAGGTCCAACAAACTAGGTTCTCTTGTTGCCTTATCTGTTACGTATGAATCTGTGGACAGAAGAGGAAAAGAACAGTTGAATTCAAACTTCCTTCCTGGAGTTGTAGCTTTCTTGGTCTAAATACGGATCTTTCAAGAGCTGAGTATTATACTAGAGATACTGGGGAGAAGAGGACGTAGTGAGCTGTCATGGGTATGCTGAGCCGCCAGGAGGAAAGCCGGCCAGGGAATGGAAGTGACCGCTGGACTCTGGGACTTAGTCACCATCTTGGCTGCTAGATCGCATCTGGCCTCCTACCAGCTCACCCCATTTCCCCCCACAGTCATACCAGGACCTGGTACAACGGCTGGAGCCTGTCATCATGGAGCTGGAACGTCAGGGCAATGTCCTTGTCATCTCCCATCAAGCTGTCATGCGCTGCCTCCTGGCCTACTTCTTAGATAAGGGCGCAGGTACCATTAAGGGACGGGCTGGGAGACACCTCCATGGGAAGAGGGCAGGGCTCGCAGCACTACCAGGATTCCTGGCCATGGGACCTCCCCCTCTTCCACTCAAGTTACAGTACATTCTTCAGGCAGCAGAGCGGAACTCCCAGCAGCCATCTGTCAACTACTTGCTGACTTTACTCTGCTACTACAAAAGCTCTCAGTGTAGGGAAGCTGCTTTGGCAGGGCGTGAACTTGCCTGGCTAAAGCACCAGCGTTGTGCAAATGTTCCTGGCAGCATCAAGGGAGTGACTGAAGAGTCCCGGCTTGTTACTCTGGTTACTAAGAGGTGGTATCTTAGAAGCATCTCTAGCCTTTGAGTTGGGGACAGAGCAGCTTTTTCTAGTAAGAGCAGTGAAGAAGAGCTGCTACCTTCTAGTCCTTCCCTTCTCCATTCCCTCAGCTGTTGAAAGCCTACAGGCTGACCATAGTAGGCCATAGTCTTCTCTTCCTGCCTATAGCTCTTACTTCCTGTTTTGCTTTCATGGAAGGATCCAGATTGACCATATTTCCTTCCTTACTACTCAGGCCTTGATCCTTGTCTGGAACTGCAGGGAGAAGCCGTACAACTCTAGGTGGTGGTCAGGGTACAGTAAACTCCTCATGAGCACCTTAGGTTCCCTCTTCCAGTCCCTTGACCTTACTCTGTAGTTCTAAGTTCCTTCCTTCACATGCCTTTTTTTTTTTCTGTTTTCAGATGAACTACCATACTTGAAGTGTCCTCTCCATACCATCTTCAAACTTACTCCTGTGGCCTATGGTAACTATACACTTGGGCTGGCAGGAAGTGTGGGGATGGAGAAGGTTGGGAAATCTGAGATGTCTCTGAAGGTTGTCTGGAAGTTCAATTCATTAGTCCTGTGTGCACCAGAAACATCCATTAGTGCTGTCCATTTCTAAAGGGTTACACGTATTTGTGGTGTTTTGATGGTAGAGTTCCCTGTGCTGAACTCAAGGAATATTCCATTGGATCTTTCTCCTGAAGTTTTTTCTTTCTACTGTTCTTCTCAGGGTGCAAAGTAGAAACAATTACCCTCAACGTGGAGGCTGTGAACACACACCGGGACAAGCCAACTGTAAGTATTTTCCCACGGATAAACAAGCCAGGTTCCTACCTTGAGTTCCTACCTTTGGCATCAAGAGACTGGGGTTTCTCTGATGTTAAGAGGGAAACAGATCCAATACTTATGGCCCATGTAGACTGCTTTCTTCCAAAAGGAAAAGATGTGGGGTTTATTTTTTATTTCTTGAAATGAGGATCTCTTTCATGAATCTTAGCCTTGAAAGTTGGTTCCTGGAAATTCATTTAAATATAGAAAGTGTTTGGCTGGAGTGCTATGCAGGTTCTTCTTGACCCCTTCCCCTTTCTAGCCCCAGAAGGCCTCCTTTTATAAATCAGGGCCCAGAAGAGTCTACCAGGTGGGGTCATCAGGTTTTGGTGGGTTTCTCTATCTGTCCCTGGTAAACTGTTAGGCCCCTTTCTTGTTCTGGAATGTGCTGCTCAGGGAATGGATTGTACTATGTCCCTTTTAGCCTCTGGGGCTAGGCTGTGTCCTGTGCAAGACCCTATGCGAAGGAAGTTGTGGTTACAAGCTTTTTTATTTTTTACCTTTATGGGTGAGCTGTTGGCATGGCTTTCATTTGTATGGTGTCCCTCCATTTCCAATCAGAACAACCTCCCCAAGAACCAAACCCCTGTAAGGATGAGAAGGAACAGCTTTACGCCTCTGTCCAGTTCGAATACAATCAGGCGTCCAAGAAATTACAGTGTTGGGAGCCGGCCCCTCAAGCCCCTCAGCCCTCTTCGTGCCCTGGACATGCAAGAAGGGGCCGACCAGCCGAAGACCCAAGTCAGCATTCCGGTGGTGTAACCGTGTGTTTCCCTCCAGCCCTTGTCACTAATCACCAAGGAGTAACTTAACTTCCACCCCACCCCCCACCCTCAACACCTTACCATTCATCTGAATGCAGAATGGGCCAGGTTGGTCCTGCATGGGCAGACCAACTCGACCCATTCTCCAGTTTGAAATTATCTCCTTACCTGGGGGCAAGATGTCAGGATGGGTCTCTTAGGTTAGATTACCAGTTGGGTGGGGGGGTCTGGAGGAGGAAGAGAAGAGTGTATACTCTCTTGGGGCCTCATGAATGTGGGTCTCTCTGTTTCCTGGTGTCTAAACTTACTAATGTCCTGTGTTGGTGCACTGGGAGATGGTGTTGGAGAGAGACACTATAGCCCATTTGTCTTTCACCTTTGTCCCTTTCTTGTGTCTTTTGGCCACTATCCTTCCTTGACTCCCCCCTGCCCCTTCCCTCTCCCTTTTGGATTGTCCAGTGTCATGCATGGCGTGGTGGTGTCTTTTGAAGGAAGAGGGCTGTTGGTGTGGGAGAAGTTTGGGATCCGTTAGTGGTATTTGCAGTGAGTCTCTGTGGATCTGCGTTGGGAGAGTCTTTCCTTTCCATTCCTTCTCCCTTCATCTCCAGCCAAGTCCTGCCATAGTCTGCCCAGGCTACAGAACATCCACAGAATGCTCTGCAGCTTGCAGATGGACATAGGGCGAGAGCCTCTTTCCGTGAGAAACAATTGCAGGGTTTTGATGGTCTGGGGGACATGGCTCTGAGGAGATGGGTTATGTCTTGTTGACGTGGTCTTTTTCTGCCTGTGGAATGGGGTTCCAGAGAATAGTTCTTTTAGGCTCTCAGTTGAGGTAGGTGTTTCTCCTGTGACTTTCAGGTTTATTGCCAATCATAGCAACTTTACTGCCACAGCCAGTGGTCTCTGGGTCTGTTTAGAAGGAGTGAGCTAGACTCTGAATTGTTCCAGGCAAAAGAGACAAGAGTTCACTAAATCTGCTCATTATTGAGAGTTTTTTTGGTCACATTTTCCTAAACTTAGATTTCTTTTAACATATTTTTCTAATGTGGAAAAGCTTTGATAAATTTAATCTCTCCTATTTCCCTACTTCTTTTTTTTTTTTTTTTTTGTCAGTCGTGGGGCCTGAAGTCTGGGCCTGGGCGCTGTCCCTCAGCTCTTCAGCTCAAGGCTAGCACTCTACCACTTGAGCCACAGCACCATTTCCGGCTTTCTCTGTTTATGTGGTGCTGAGGAATCAAACCCATTTCCTCATGCATGCAAGGCAAGCACTCTACCACTGAGCCATCTTCCCAGCCCTCCCTACTTCATTTTTAAGGAGATTCTCTCATGTTAAGGTCCTGAGATGGCCCAGGGAACCATAGTTCTTGACACTATTTATATTAAGCCCCATAATTAAGGCCTATGATGGCTTACTCTCTGTACCCAAATTTGCATATAAAAGAAATGGATGTACACATGTGCATTTTCCTGAGCTTTCAGGAGACTTTTTCTTAGAAGAGTTAGGTGGCTTCCTACCTCTCAACTGTTGTATGGTAGAAACTGGTAAGAGAAAGTTAGCTCTTTTCCCAGAGTGTTTTCATTTGTTTGTTTTTGTGATAGAAATCCTTTCACCGTTCTCATCAGGAGCATTCCTTAGAATCCCCTTTAGAACTTTGGAACAGACACCTTGCTGGGTCCAGTCGAGTCAGGCGGAGGGAGCACTGATTCCCAGTCTCTGGAGTAATGGCTGGACATGTATGTGTCTCCTTGTGATTCTGATTCACACTCCAGGATAGTAATTCCACCAGCTGGAGCTGGGGGCAATAGTTTCTTGGATATTTCAGCTTTGGAATTCTGAGCTTTCTTTGTTCTGAGAAGACAGTTCTTTGGAGTTAGATGATGGAGCAGAATTTAGTATGAAATTAAAGGCAGGCAAGTTCTCAGTTCTCATCATTTCCTCTTCACATTGCAGGGGGATGTGGAACAAAGCACTAAACTAAATAAATGTTCTTGGATGAGGATCTTAAGCAGGCTGGTGAGAGGGAGAACCTCTAGGATGATGAAGGTTGCCGGGTACCACTGGCTCACGCTTATCATCCTAGCTACTCAAGAGGCTGAGATCTGAAGATCATGGTTTGAAGCCAGCTGGAGCAGTAAAGTCCATAAAGCTCTTACCTCCAATGTTATAACCACTAAAAAGCCAGAAATGGAGCTGTGGTTCAAATGGTAGAGCACTAGTTGTGAGCAAAAGAGGCAAGGGAGAGGGCCTAAGCCCAGAGTTTAAGCCCCAGATCCAGCACGCACGCACGCACGCACGCGCGCGCGCACGCACACACACGCACACACAGGTGATGAAGGCTGTCACTTTAGGCAGCTGCCTCCTAGCTACAGTCATTTTTTTTTTTTTTTGTCAGTCATGGGGCTTGAACTCTGGGCCTGGGTGCTGTCCCTGCCCTCTTGAGCTCAAGGTGAGCACTCCACCAATTGAGCCACAGTGCCACTTCCGGTTTTCTAGTGGTTTATTGGAGATAAGAGTCTCATGGACTTTCCTACCTGGGCTGGCTTTGAACTGCGATCCTCAGATCTCGGCCTCCTGAGTAGCTAGGATTACAGGCATGAGCTACCAGCGCCCAGTATTAGTTTCAGTCCTTTACTGTTACATTCCTCTTAGAATACCTCATCCAGTTTCCAAAGTTTGGAAACTTAGAGATTCTCCCAAAACTGTATCTAAGATAGAACGTAACCTGCCCTTCCTAATAAGCTGTTGCACAATGTCTTTAGTGTCCTTAGCCGTGGGACTCTGGACTGGGCAGAGGACCCACAGAAGAAAAAAAGTTTCTTCCCCTGAACTAAGTTACTTTGAGACAGAGGACAATGCGATTTATAACAAATGAACATGTGTAAAAGAACAGTTTGCTGAATCTAGAAGTGTCGACATGGCAGTGGAGAACAGATCGCTCGCTGTTCTGGCTCTTGTCCTATGGACAAAGAGTTAGATGGTGGGTCTGCCCCCTCCCCACAGTGGGACAAGGAGGTGTGGTCTGGGAGGTGGTAGTGGCGCTTTTATAAGCTTGCCTTGTTTAGCTTTTGCTTGCATGGTGGCAATTCTAGCCCAAATTGGAAATCAACCTTCCCTCTACTATGTGTGAAGTAAGAAGAAGTCAGAGATAATGAATGAGGAAAAGGATAAACTTTTGGGTTTAGGCTGCATCATCTTTGAAGGGACTTTCTCTGACCAACTAGCATTGATTTAACCTATTAGAAACACTATCACCAGAGACAGGCTATTAGATGGGTGTTCTGACTCTGTCTGTTGACTGTTTTGCAAAGTATTGGTTTGCTTCTCAGAAAAGGAACCAGGTAGACTTACTATAGGACAGGAGAAGTTAGAATTTGAAAGCAACAAGAGTTTCAACATCTTTCCATTTTTAGACAAGATCCTTTCAAGAAGGGGAAGCCAGGACAATACAGACTCGAATAGAGCTCTTATTCCAAATTGTAGGAAGTCTCCCTTGCATCTTTTTCTGCCCTTCCCACTCCTTATTAGCTTAAAGGCATACCGGCGGTAGGTACATATTACTCTTTTTGGGTTTCCATCACAAATCCTACAAAGAAAAGATGGTATCTGAAGTACCGTTTGCTGAGGATCTGAGTTTTGTTAGGGGGAAATAGGTGAAGACTTTGGCATTTTTTTTTACCAGTAGAGAGTAAGGAAAAGAAATTCTTAATACCGTTTTCTTTTTCCTGCTTCAAAGTGGAATGAGGAAGTCTGTGTTATTTAACAGAAGAATCAGAAGCAAACTTTTGGAGAATTCAGTTCTCTCCTTATCTTCCGATTTCCAGATTGAAATTTAGCATTTTGTTCTGGTTGAGAGAAGGGATGGTTTCACGCTGATTTAGAAAGAGTAAGAAAATGCAGTGTGCTAGCTTTATAGCATTGCCCCATTTCTCAAGAAGTTAGGGTCAGGGATCCAATATATAGTTTCACTCCAAGACAAGTGGTTGAGTGTTTCAGGCGAGAGTCTGGGCAGTTCCCTTTACAATCCACATTTGATCTCTGGCATTTGAAGAAGCAAAAGATGTACATGTTTGGAAGTAAATCCATTTTAGGATTTTTTTTTTTGCAAGGGGGGGGTGGACTGGAGATCTGAGTTCTAGAGAAACTCTTTTGATGCTTGGGGTTGCAAGTAATCAGTAGCCAGGTGATGTTGTCTCCTGCATATCTGCTTCTTTTCCAAGCTCAAAACCCAGGTTGTATTTATTGTTAGGAAATTTACTAGAATTACCCACTTTTCCTTGTATATACTTCGATTGGGTTGTGTTTAAAATGATTTTTATCTTAAGAATATATAACAACTGAGTCAAATTGCAACATTGAGTTTTAGATCTTTGATTTTTTTATCTAGAGGCAACACACATCAGCAGTATGTCCAAGAATAAATAATTACCATGTCAGCTGACTGACAGGTTCTAATACATCTATAAGCTAACAACCCACTTGTTTTTCCATTGTACTGCCTGGTAATATATGCACATGATTGTAATTCTCTGTCTATACCACGTTTCCTATGTTTTTTAAAGGAACTAAATACTTAGAAAACTAAGCCCGTTTTCTTCATGGGGAATTTCTGTACACTATAATTTTTCATAGGTAAGTCTTATATAATAGTGTCCAAAACTCTCATTTTTTTTAAGATGACAGTTGTACATAATGTGTATGGTATTTGGTGAACTCAGCTAAGGTAATACCTGTTCAGAGCCTGAAGTTGTAATGTCTACTAGATTTTATCTCACTCAGTACCTGGCTTTGGGGCTTTTATTGTCTGACTCTGAACTCTCTGTATTCTCCGCTTACTCTGCCATGGCATGTACCATTCCATGGAAGAGTTTTCAGTCTGTCATGGCTTTGCTTTTAATCTAATAAGTAAAAAATCAAGGGGGCTGGGAATGCAGCTTAGTGGTAGAGTGCTTGCCTAGCATGCATGAAGCCCTAGGTTCAATTCCTTAGTACCACATAAACAGAAAAAGCCAGAAGTGGTGCTGTGGCTCAAGTGGGTAGAGTGCTAGCCTTGAGCAAAAGAACTCACAGACAGTGCCCAGACCCCAAGTTCAAGCCCCAGGATTGACAAGATAAATAAATAAATAAATCTGAGGAAATTTTATATTCAAAACTGATTTTAAGACTGAGTAACAAGTATTCTTTCCAATAAGACTTTCGTTGGACATCTGGGACCAGAATCTATCTGCTTACTGTTATTGTGTCTAAATTCTTTGTGTGTATTTTTCTGCATTGAAGTAACAGGATCAATCATTCTCATAAGGTGATGGGTTTTCTATGGCAAAGGACTGATCACAAATGGTGCCCTTTGGAGGGGAATAGGAGTGTGCTGAGCACTATTGTTTTGGATGGAAATGGGGTGGAGGAACGGAGGTCTGCTGCAGATTTCCTAGGTACAGCTATATTGAAAGTGGGATTGTCAATCCTTAGCAGCATTCTAATTTAATCTGGTGATAAAGATAAAATATTTTACTCAGATCTATTTAAGGTGTATATAACTGTATTTGAAATGTGTTTCTTTTGGGGGGAGAGGGTGTGTGTGTGTGTGTGTGTGTGTGTGTGTGTGTGTGTGTGTGTGTGTGTGTGTGTGTGTGTGTGTGTGTGTGTGTGTGTGGAATGGGTTAATAAAATTGTTGCATAATTTGAACCTACCAGAAGACTTCTGGGTTTTTTGTTTTGTATTTTGGATTATGTTCCGAAACTGCTTCCCGCCCCTTTGCCTCATAGTGCTGCATAATGTCAACATTGTTGTACAACACAGACTTGGGCAGGCCCAATATATTTTGAGTAGAGAACATGGAGCAGGCATGGCTGTCTGTCACCACCTGCTGGGGAAGATGGGAAGGACATGGGAGGAACGTGAACGACTACTAATGTATAACTGCTGGTGCCTCTTTAAGAATTAAGAAGAAACTTACACATGTCCATGTAGTGTCATGATTCCCAGTAACAACGTATAACTCATATAAAAGATCTTTTAGAATTTGTTGGGCTGTTGCTTCTAAAGTATACCATGCCTCTTTCTAAAGAGATTACACTCAAGAGGGTATTTCATTTCTGGACGGAAGTGGTAGTTCCACTGTTCTCTAGCCTTATTCTTTTTGACTCTAACAATGACCCAGGAGCTCATTAGTAATGCAGATTCTCAGGTTCGATCTCAAACCCACCAAATCAGAACCTGGTAGCAGTTGAGTTAGGCACATTTAACATTTGACGAAGACTTGGTGGGGGGAAATTGTTTTTACAAGGTAAAACATTAAATTCTAGACTATGGGAAGAGGTTGATCTGTTTGATGATTGGTTTCAGAACAGACAGGTACAACAGGAGAGATTGTCCTCAGAAAAGAGTTCCTGATCACATAGACTGAGTAGCCTGCATACTCTTGTTTGTCTGTCTGTCTTGTTTTTAACCACAGGGACATGCCCACTTCAGCCTCATATCTTGGGTATGTAGCTTGTGGCTCAGGTCTAAAAGGGCACTTGTCCCAACATGGTCACAAGGTCAGCTTCTCAGGAAAAGAAGCCTCTAACTATGCTGTTAGAATTTGCCTGATTTGCCATGGTGGAGCTGTGTGGAGGCATGGCAGTGTGTCCTCACCTGCATGGGGACGTGGGGATGAGAGGGTGGGGGTGACAAAAGCGGTGGGGAGGGATTCGTCTTGCTTCTCTTCATCTTTCCGTTACAGTAAACGGTCTTGCTTCTCTTCCCTCTCTGACTCCTAGGGGGAGAACACTCCGCAGACTATGCAAACACCCGTCTCTGTGGCATCCCTCACCTTGAATCCTTGAGGCCAGATCTCTGGGAGAAAGCCATCTACTGGAAAGCTTGGGAAGTCAGCACCACCAAAGCTAGAACAGGAAGTTGAGTGGAGTCTGCAAAT